GAACCGTGGTCACACGGTTGTCAAAGTCCCTCCTCGGAAACCGCAGCGCAGCGCTGCTTCTGCACACACACGGAAAGAAAAACGTTTCTAGCGTCTGAGTCCACGGCAGAAATCCTGAATCTCTCAGCTGAAGAGAGCCCTACAGTTTCCAAAAAAAATCAAAGAAAGAGAAGGTGGTGTTTTATTCAAAATCATGCACAATTCTTACCCTCTGTTGTAATGCCAGGTTAGCACACAGCATGCCCAGTGGAAGGAGTTCAGTGTGGTGCAGTGTTCTGGCAGAAGACTCATCTGTGAATCTGCTCAGGATCAGCTCCCCATAAATAGTCACCCTGCAGTTTATTCCCATAGCATAGGACTTTTACCACAACATGCCCTGCTTGCCGTCTCTGGCTTTTGCTCAGATCTTGAGCTTTCTGGCATCTCTGTAGTCCTCTTTAAAGTTCAGCAGAAGTGCAAGGCATTCAGCATCTGAAAGTAAGGCTTCTCAGACAAAACTTTACTCGTGGCAGTAGAATCACAAGAGTTGGTGAAAGTATTTGAATGTGTGAAGGACTTTAACATCAGGCTTTTCATCTGTCAGCAGCTTGGGGCACAGAACTGTCGTATTTGTATGGCTGGAAAGCAATACATCTAACCCAAGCCTTGCGTATGACACCATTACAAATTGCAATTCCAGAGCTTCTTCCTATAAATTTTAAAACCAGAAGTTACCACTGTAATTACCTCACCCAGCCGCTGTACTGCAGGACAGTGCATTTCATCTGGTAACCTCAGTGTATTGCTAATTGCATGGTTTTAGACAGCTGCTCAGACAGATGAGATTAAAAGATCAGGGCAAGGTTCTTGCTGTGGGCTTCAGTGAGCACAGGATTTTATCCTCAATCTCTGTTCAGCGTTCTCTTGCTGACTTATTACTGGACTTCTTAGGGGGGGCGTTTGTTTGGCTTCTTTGTTTTCCAGTTGTGAGGTCGGGATACCATAATCATTCTACTCTCTGCGAACATTAAAAAGGTGAAACTGGTGATGATCAACAATCATGACAAATGCTTCTTTGAAGTAGCTCTTTTTAAAAAATTACTAGCCCTGCCCACATTTTCACCACTCAGACTCAGATGATGAGATCTGCATGATGTTGACTACGTCCGAAAGTAATGTTGCCATATGAACTGTTTTGGGTAGGTGTGTTATTTACACCAGCAAGACCTAACAATGTGGGTTTTGCTCTGAAAGTCTTGTAGTATCCCTTTCACATGGAAGGTGTTTACTGGTTTGGGTTTTTTGTTCTTCTGTCTGTATCTCTGACAACTTGTATTGTGCAATGCACACCCTAATCCATTGCAGTGATGTTTTGGTCTCATTCTTTTCTCTGTCTCTCCACTCCTTCTGGGAGTTCTGTGCGTTTTTTCCCAGTGAGGTAGTCCAAAGCATGTAAATTGTGCCACCATATTAATTAGAATTGCTGAACTAATTGAGAAACATTACCAATCTGTTTAGTGTTTATTTCTTTCAAATAACAAAGAGTGTATCATTCAGAAAGATGCCTCACTTGGTAGTTTGCAGCACTAGAAACTACCTTATTTTAGATCTCCTTCTGGGAAGTCTTATGAAGCCAGTAGAAACTTTTCTGCCTAGCATAACATAAAAGCAGTAATAGGCTTTTAACTCTGAGTTTGTGAAACGTTTTTTTCAGGAGATAGAAATGATCATGTAATGAAACTCAACATACTCATTTCAAGCAGGAAAATTTTGCACGTACAGTATATCGGAGCTTGAGCCCTAGTTTTCCAGTTCCTTTTTGAACAAATGTTCATGGCACCATTTCAAACTCTCCTTTAAGCAACTTCTATATATGAGTGAGGACAGGGTTGGTTTTGGTTTTTGTTTTTTTAACTCGTAGCCTGTATGGAAGTCTCTACAAGGTGGGACATTCTCAGAAGCATTATGGAGGTTATTATTTGAGGAAAAAGAGAGGCATCTTTCCCATTGTCAATATGATTACTTTTGCTGAAGTTCTATGACTAGTAGCTAATGCCAGAAGAGTTGATTGCTCACAACTAAATCTGAATGGGAGGTGTGAGCTGTTCTGGACTGCCCAGAGCAGGACCATACTTTGCTATTTACAGTCTTTGTTGGATATGAATGTAACTATTCAGACATTTTAAAAAGATGCTGAAAGTTTATCCAACTTATGGGCAGTATTAGCAGTACCATAAGGATTGATAATGCTGTGGTTTCCTGCTTCAGCTTTGTGTCACACCATTGCATCAACTCTTTCAGATTAATACTGCAAAGCATTTTTGAAGCTTCCAGATAAAATGTCCTAAAAATAGGACAGAGTTTACTGTGATCTTGATTCAGAATAGTTAGTAGGGAGGAGTCACCTGAAGCTTTATACTGCATCTTTTGTCTAACTTAGGTGGCTTCTTTATTTCTTCCATCTGGAAGAAAAAGCAACCCATGGCAGACTACTTTTCCTCATTAATGTTTAATGGCACTCCCATCCATACCTACCCACATTTGTTAAACGTGGTCTTCAGTTTACCCGTAGAACAGTTTTAATATAACATTCCAGCTTTTAAGATGGGATTTCCCTTTCTTTTGATCTTGGATTTGGTTCAGACATCTTTAGAAGTTGCAGTTCTCTCATTCCTAGACATCTTCTTTGACTGATATGATAGTTAATCTTCCGTCATCCCAGCCAAGCCATTGTGCATGATGAATTAAACATCCCTGCTGTTTTCTTTGATCACAGAAATAACAATTACTTTGTTATTATAATCTCTTACTTGTCATAAGGCTTACATAGCTTAGATGGAAAAGACCAGTTACATCATTGATTCCAGACGCTTCTTTAGAAGCAGAATACCTATGGGCAGCTTACATTTAAGCAAGAGACAGATCCCCTCACCTTGCAGCCACCTGTAAGAAGTGAAACTTGGTGAAACATCAAAGTTTTCTGTGTGTTGGGGTTCCCCCTTGGCCAGTCAGATTACCTAGGTGACCTACTATGATTTCTTTTTTTTTTTTTTTTTTTTTTCCGTCTTCAGTTTGGGTTTCTGGTGTTACGTTTTGTCTTTTAAATTATCTGATAATGTACCAGTCAATACTCCTAATTACAGTGAAGTTTAGACTTCCTGAAAATGAGTGCTGCTCTTCCACCAGCAGAACAGACAAGGACAACGCTACTGCTGGAAATGAAAGCCCAGCGCTGGAGATAAAAAACAAACCAAAGCTCTCTAGTGCCTGCCTTTTCTGTCTAGTTCACTATGTATGTTTCACCAGAAAGCAATTATAATACATGTGACTGGTTTGGGAGCCAATACTTTCACAGAAGAGCCAGTCTTGAAAGCCTTGCATAGTGATCACTTCTATTCCATGGCCCTGTGTGCTGGGCTTGCAGTTCCCACAACAAGTTAGTAGTCTTTCTGGACCTGATCCAAAGTGAATGAAGTCAGTGCAAACTGTTTCAGTTGGCTGTAGATGAAATAAAGCATTATAAAATAGTAAGTGCAAGGGATACTGTTCTGCCACCTCACACCTGCAAGAATAACACCGTTGAGATTAGTATCTTGCATTTATATAGCGTTCTTTCTCATAAAATATTCAGATCATTTTTGTAAATTATGAGCTCAGTGCTCATAACAAATTTCCACGTGTCCAGCTGGAATTCCAGAGAACTGATGTTTGCTCATGCAGATGCCTGCAGCAGGATCAGCTTCTGCATCTGTTCAAACCCACTGAATCCAGAGCTGAAGTGTGCCTGTCTCTGGAATACAGTTGTTAGCAATTAACAGCAACACTGCAAACATCTTGTGTCAGGCTGAGAGTATCCCAAAGATTCAGCTCTCTTTTAGAGTTTGCCCAGGATTGCATCCTTGATTTTTCCATGAATCCTCTGCAAACGATCACACTTTGAATACAAAATGTGAGTATATATGTGTTTGTACGTATATATATATATATATGTCTATCTCTCTATAAAAACCCTCAAAGGATGGCATCTTGTGCAGCACTAGGCATCCTTATGCCAAGACATGCTGAGTACAGTTACAGACAAAAGAATGTGACTGCTCAGTCATCAGCACAGTGCTTGCAGTCATTAATGCCTTTTCCCCAGCTGTCAGTCAGGTTAACTTGGAAAATTATCTGGCTCACAGTGTTGGTGTCATCCATGCCAGCTGCAGACATGCTCCTCTTTTCCTTTTAGAGACTTCTCCAGGAGTTGCTGAGGTGACGTTTGTGGAAAAGGAGCCAGCTGAGCGCCACACAATCATTTCATGGGAGCAAGTGAGTATTTTCATGATAGTACTGCAATGAGGTCAGTCTGAATGTCCAGCAGCCCATAGAGAATGTCAGATGCAATGGCTGCCTTGTCTTTGTGAGAGAGCCTGTTACCGAGTTCAGTGCACAGTGGAGCCTAAACAGATGTTTGGTCTTTCTTCAATGAGGTATTATTCTGGCTTTTAGGCTATTGTGTGCATGTGATCTGTTAGAGAAATTTTGTCAGTGTGGGTTTATTTAGAATGATAACTCTAAAAAGAAATCAGATAACTATAGTAGGCAGCAACAGTGGGGACTCAGTGGAGAACAATCATTGTTCTGATTCAGGTCTGAACCCATTTTCCAAGTCCCTTTCAAACAGAATGTAGAAGCTCTTTGTTATTCACGGCCATTAAAGGTAGAGGCCTCAAGCTGGAAAATACCACTGAGCACCCAGTTCATTCCAGTTATCTATTTCTCTTTTCAGTCTCAGCTACTCACTTCCATTTCTCATACACCCCTTCCTTCCACCTCCGCTTTGGCTAACCAACCCAGTCTTTTGGCCAAGGTGTGTCCCGTTGCCTGTTACAGAAGGCAATGCAGCGCATGTGCTACCTTCGCATTAGCTGACCTCACTGCATCAGACTGTGTGACCAGAGGGCTCCTGAATACTGTCCTGTGACTCTGGTGGGCAGAGATGGCATTTTTGGTCACTTTTTTGATTATAAGCTTGTGTATCAATCCTGTGACCATGGGGGAATAACTGCTTTCTAGGTATCACTCCTTTGTAGGGAAGGGACAGTAGAAGCTGACTGACCTTTGGAAAGGGCCGTGGCGGAGGATGGAGTTGAGTGAATCATCCTCACTCTGCTCCAACCCTGGCTATGCTGCCCGTGCTCCCAGAGACTGCACTTGTTACCACTGCATAAAATAACTTCCCCGTTGATGACACCTTGCCATTTACAGTTTTTCCTAAACAGTAGGGAAAAATCTTGCAGTAGTTTTGGTAACGCCCTATCCCAATTAGTGATATTCATCAAGAATTTATAAATCCAGGTCAGAATGTACGTGATGTAAACCTGTGTTATTTATTGAAACTTGTACAGTAGCCAGCAACTGTGGTCGGGCAGAAAAATCCAGTTTTTCAGGTTTGTGTGAACTGATTCCTGATCTTCTGTAGCTGTTGTTCAGGTGTCGGGTTAACTGGGCTGGAAAGTCAGAGGCATCCTGACTGTGAGCCGGCTCAGGCCTGGGAGCACCAGAGTGACATTTGCTCGTTTTTCTGTTGAGTGGAGAGGACTGCTTCTCCTGAACACAGCATTGCTCTCATTTTCAGGTGCTGCTACTCCTCCCAACTAAATTTGGTTTGATTCAAAATTGAGCGATTCTTGTGAAGCCAAAACTTGAAGTGCTCTACCCAAAGCACTTCTTCCAAAGATATGAAAACAAAATGAAACGAGTTTATCTGTATTCTATGGTCACTTTTATCTTTTTTTTTTTCGTAGCCACTAGGTGGCAATAGTTCCGCACATTTCTCCATAGTTCCAATTTTAACAAGGTCTTGTCACAGTCTGTATGTTTACCTCCCCTGTACATCTTTGGTTATGAAAGTATTTGCAGGGCTTTTTGTCTAATATAGGGAAAACTGGTCAAACTATTCCCAAAATTACATTCTTTTTCCCAACAAAACCTCTCTTTCCATTGAGACTCATTGAATAAAAGCTCTGTATTTTTTTACATTTTTTTAAATCAATTTTTACAGTCCTATTTCAGTTTTGCAATGGAAAGGTATTTCTGCTGAGATCAAATCTACAGTATGAAGAAACTCTTAAAAGAAAATATCTTTTTTTTAATTGTGAATATTTGTTAAATTGGGCTGTGCCCAGTTTGGGCCAGTATTTAACTGAATACTACGATGGAAATTTTAAAATCTTAGAACAACTCATTGAATGCTCATTAGCTGCTGTGAGGCTTTGCAGGGGAAGGCGAGCTTCATGAAAGCAGGCAGTGCAGTAAGACAGTGGGAGAGCAGAAGAGATTTTTTTTTTTTTTTCCAGAGCTTACTCTAAAGGGAGAAAGAGCAGTTAAGTCTTATACTTCAGGAAATCAAACCTGAAATCAATGCTGAATATTTTATTGGAAATCAGCACACTCAAAAAATATTTAAGGTATATGATTTCAAGTGTTTACATGGGTAGCATTGCTTCCCCAAAACTTTCAAGCAGTTCAAAATATTTTAATAAAAACAGATCGGTTTTTCACCTTTCCGTATGTTTAGACCTACTGAGATGTTGTCTTTTCCCCAAGAAAGTGGGACAAACAATAGAAAGGGGAGTAGAGTTACCACTGGAACTCCAGTGCTAATAACTCTATATCACCGTATGAACCCATTCCCAGTCCTAAAATTAGGCTGGCAACTGCCCTGCTCCCCTCCACATGCAGTTTTTAAAAGAAGCTGTTATGCTATAGTATTGCTAGGAGGCACTCTAGTATCTGCTGCGACCATGTCTCAACCGCTTTTTCTTTTTGCCTCAACCTGAAGAGAAATAATTGTTTCATCAATTGTTTGCATCATTGGTTTGGTTTTCAAACAATAGAAAACTGCATTCTGTTAGGAGGAACTGGAGGTCCTAGAACTCAGCACCACAGCAGGCTAAGCAAAATCAAGGGAGTCATTTCGCCTATTCCTCTAATTGGCTTGTTAGCAGTGTCTGAACTGCTCCTGGCTGGCTGTAAGTGGTCCCTGCCCATCATGCTGCTGGAGCTTTGATATTCTACAACTCTACATGGGAAATATGTTGTTTCTTCTTATGCACTTTGTCTACAAAGATTTATTTTTCTGTAATAAAACCATTAGAAAGCCTTCAAGCAGTCTGGTGCTTTCCCACTGTGGACTGTCTTAGGCTGCCAGACAATTTAGAAACTCTCTTTGCATGTAAATCTCAGTGGGAACTGTGGCGGTGGTTCCTGGCTATTCTAGAAGTCTTCCTCATGGCTTCTACAATGTCTTTTTTGGACTCGAAGCGTGTGTGTAGGCATGTGCATCCACAAGGGTCCTTCTTGCCGTCCTACTTGTAATGTCCTCCCTCAGCGTTAGGCGAGCCTGCTATCTCTGGTCCCCAGGAGCACAGGGGCTGCCCATCTTGAACATGCCTTGTGGCCCTGACTATGGGAGAGGTGGGTAAGTGGATCCTGCAGAACCAGAGCATGATGAAAGGTATAATTCTTCAAGATGCATAATGGGGAAAAGGCTGTGGAGGACTTTTGGGAGGTAGGCAGTGTTTCTGACACACTGTTACCCTCCTGTGGGGCCTTATAATACTCTGATTAAAAGAATGGCTACACAGCAGCAGCCTCAAGACAATTGCCAAATCCTGTTCTCGGCAGCAGGGGATCAGGTCTGCCCCAGCCCCGTGCCTTTCAGGGCAGGAAATCCAAGCAAGGTGATCTCCTGGGAGCTCTGCTAGATCAGATTTATAAAAGCTGCAACAAGAACATCTCACTGTGTTACATAAATTAATATCTGCATTCACTGGCAGCTGGGGCAGACCAGTCATGAAACAGCATGATGTGAGGGAGAGAGAAAGGTGGCTGCTAGTACTTGGAAGCCCTGAGAAGTGACATAAATCCCTTCCTTCTCTCCCCAGAAGTTGGGTAAAACTCTGACAATTTTTTAGAGAAGTCTCTCTAGAGCTATGTGTTTTGATTGCTGCCCATTTCTTTAGGATATTTGCTCGGGAGGTGTTGTTTCAACAGTGCTTTAAGTGAATTGCCATATGTCAGTGTTTTAGCTCCAGATTCAGTGATGATCAGGTCTTGGCAGGAGAAGTACCCTGGTTTTAATATTTTTCTCTATCCTCAATGGACTGTGCTCTCTTGGGAGACTATTTGGGGCTATTATGGACAATAAACAAAAAAAACCAGACCTTACACACCATATGGGGCACTTGGGATATTTTGTTTTATGAGCTGATGAGTGTAACCAGATGACTAGAGTGAAAACAGCTGCTTGCCAGGGCTGTGGTTAAGGCACTTCTGGCATGTTATTAGGAATATCATATTTTATGGGGCTGGAGATCACAACCCTGGAAACTACCAGTTGAGCAGGAGTACAGAGCTTGGGAAGCCATTTTTAATGTATACTAGTGGCTTGTTTCTCTGACTCTGCTGTCAGAAGACCACTGTTTTGATGTCATAGGATCATGTGGCTGAACATGATACAACAGATCAATCAATCCTTCCTGTCAGATGGGAGAGATGGGTATTAGTGAAGCTTTCTATATAGAAGTCTTTTCCTATAGACCCCAGATCTGCTGTGGTTCTCCTGCTTAGAGGAGAACACCCACTGAAGAGAACTGTTTACATACATATTTTTACTGCTGGAGTAGATTAGTTAAAATTGGGGGGTATGAAATGGACTGAAAGTGCTGTGTAAACACTTGTACTCTTCTGAGGCTTTGTAGCAAGTCTGTCATGTTTTCTTTCTTCATAGTTTTAAACCTAGTCACTGTGCTTACAGCTACAGCATGAAATTATAAATATTTAGGACTGAGAAGAACCCACAGAAGGAGGTGTGTTTGTTAAAGGCATTTGAAGAACTTCAGATATGTCCATGTGGCTTAGTAATCTCCTGAAACTTACTACCAGGGCCTCAACCATCAGCAGGCTTTTATCAAAGGACAATGAGTTCTTCTCAAAACAAAGTTTCTACAGTATCAGACTCTCTGCTTTAATACCTGTTGCCTCTGAAGATTTTCCCTACCTGGGGTAGGAAAGCACTGTGCTAGCGACCAGGCTGCTGGCACAGCAAGTGAAGTGACCTGCCCTATTGCAAGCTGCAAAGCCATTAATATCTGGGACTCGTCGGTAGCAGTCTGTCGACATAAATGGATATGCTTAGAAAGTAATTTAGCACACGGGATTGAACGTTCTGGGTGGCTTAGAGGGTCCTGCACAGCGTATATACCACAGTTTAGGAGACAGGGACTGTAACACTCAAAGAAAGTGACTGTGAATCAGGCTTTAACAGGCAGAAGGGCTGCCCTGGTCCTAGGGGAAGGAGGGGATGTGGAGAGGAGGAGGCCAGCGCCTTCCCTTGCTTGTGCCAGTCAGTGATGACCAGAGGCCAGCATTGCAGCTGGATGTACAGCTGACAGGTAGCCCCTGCTGGATAGATGCATTGGGGCAACATCAGGGCAAATAACTGGATACGCACAAGTTGCGGACATGGGGAAGAATCCCATCAGCATCTCTTGAGATGTTACAAATTCGTGCCCCAAGTGAAGCAGAGCTACATGAACTGCATGTGCATGTTTCTTTTCCTTAGCTAGTGATTACCAGAGTATTCTTTCTTTATTTTATTAGACTTGGAATGTTACATTTTCTAGTAGCTGTAGGGAAGTAGTCCCAGCAGAGGTACAATATTGGAAAGCTATTAACATCTGACTCCTGCTTTCTCCAATGCAATTCTGTCACTGCTCCAAAACCCACCTAGGCCTCTCAGGCCAGGCTGTGAATACGTACCTGAATAACATCTTGATCTGTGGCAGGGTAAGCCTATATGAGGGACAGCATTACTGACCTATAAATGTTCTCAAAGATTGTGATTCTATGTTTTCTTGCTTTGAGTGTCAAACTCATTGCACAAAGAGCAGGCCATGTGCAACAGCATGTCTTTAAAACTGGCCAAATGAAAGAAATTCAACTTTTTTTAGAAAAGGCTGAAAATGCTGTCACAAAAGTACTTGAAGTATCAGACATACTATGTTGCAAATCTCACATTATTTGTCTATTTTCCCTGTCAGGTGTAGCTCAGGAAGTCCTGTGATTATAAACAGGTCTCAGATCAATCTTTTAAAGAAGGCATTGTCTATCCTCCTGATTTAATGACAAAGCTTGGCCCTCAAGTGGCTTATTTCTGTCTTTGTTCCTGAGCAGATTTAAAAGCACTTGAGACTGAAAAGGGAGAGTGACCACAATTTGACACTTGGAGGTTCAGACTGCAAGTAGGAAAACTTTTTCACAAGGAGGGTCGTGCAGCCTGTGGAGTTGAGGAACCTACATCATCGGAGATCATCCTGAGTTTTGGGGTCTGACTCCTTTGGAGTCTTAAGTTTGATGATACTTCAAATGTGAACTCTCTTCAGTCTTTCTCGATCTGTTTTTTCTCTAAAGCAATTACAAACAAAATAGCAGATAACTCCTTTAGTCATGTGTGTTGCTTGTCTTCCTAAAACTGACAGGCTTCTGTACTGTTTTATTTTGTGTCCTTGACACATCAACAGGAACAGAGGGTCAGTGGTCTGCAGCCAGTCCTGTCACCAGGAGCAGTGCCTGCAATTGCCTATAGTTGTTTGGGCTTCTTGTTGTTCTGAGGATTAAACTTTTGTCCTTCCTTCCTCATATTTATTACTTAGCTGAAGAGTCTAAGAAAGTCTCCTTCCACAACCAATATAGGTATAGGAGAAGGGTTCTGGTTCTTAGAAGCACTCTCACCATCTCACTGGAGTTGCTTCTTTCACTGTTGACGAAGGAGCCCCAGCCAAGCACTGAAGGTTGGTGAGATGAAGCCAGACCAGCAGGTTTGTGAGACTGACTCTGTGTATTTGCACACATACTGTTTGTTAAGTGAAATGTCAAATGTGCTTGATTATGTACAACTATTGAGTCTATGCCTCTCTCACTTACTTGCAACTGAAATCCCACAGAAGAGGAGAGTCCTTGTGCTAATATTATACATGCTTTAGCAGAACAGGTAGGTTTAGTCTGATTTAACTTAAAGCAAAACTCTAGTCTTGTAAGCTGTATATATGAAAAAGCTGATTGTTCTTATGTATGTCATCGTGGAGTGGCTGTTAGTGACAAAGGGTGATGCGTCATCTCAGTAGGGGAACAATCCTGTAATAATCTTGTGATGACTGACTGCTCATTGTGAAACTTTCCCAAGTGATCTTTGTTGATACAGTAGCACAGACCCAAGAAATATGCAGTTTTCTCTCAAGGTATTAGGATGATATTTGGGCTGATTTGAGTCATCTTGAAGTTGAGCAAAACATTTGAGGCGCATTTTGCATTTTCCCATAACACTTTTGACTGTGATCTGCAGAAAAACTCCTGCATATTGCCAGAGGATTTAAAGAACTTCTATCTGATGACTGATGGCTTCCAGATGACCTGGAGTGTGAAGACTGATGGTGAGTTGCTGTGTGTTGCTCTCCACTGATATCCTCATTTCATTGCAGCCAATCTTTCCTTTGCAGAATCTCTTTAATTTCAACCTTACTTTCTGCACGGTCAGTACATATCTGTCAGCATCCTGCATTAGTCTGAGCAAAAGCATAAGCACCAAGTCATTTTGAATTAAAATCACCATTCCTTAACTTGCAAAAAAATGCAGTAGTTTGTTTCTGCTAGGCAGCTTGATCAGTGACTACAGAAAACCGACTTCTGAATTAATAAGTGAGTGCCGTTCTGCATGGGATTGTAGACTATTGTACAGATGTCCCGGTGAGGCAAAAAAATATGACTACACGTCAGAGGTCCCTTCCTGATGCGACAGGACAAAGCCTATTGCTTGCATGTGCTAGACTTCCACAGAAGAAACATGTATGCTGACCACTGACTAGAAACCAAACAATTTTTCGTGACATAAATACCATCCTGTAATATACTGTCCATCTGTTGACACTCAGATTTAGGTATGTAGTTTAAATCACATACCTAGACTCCCTCTGTTGTTCATGGAGAAGCAGTTTTAGCACATTATCCTATCATAAAGCAGTAGGAAGAGTCACCCTCTGATAATACCTCCTTTTCATTAAAAAGTATATGTATATGCCAGAGCCTGATTCTGCTTTCCACCAGCTAAAGTCCATTCGCTGGAGTTTTTTCTGGAGTCAGTGGTGGAAGTGAGAATAGGACCAAGCTTTATTGTCCATCCTCGTTCGGCAAGAATCGGGTGGTTCATTCACTCTGCACTGGAGCCCCGCAATTATTATCCTGGCTCTTGTTGCCTTCAAGGGAGATTGTCAAATAGGGCTGTGGACACTGCTCACCTGTGGAGGTGGGTGTCAAATAAAGGGTTTTCCGCAGGAAGTGGAATTTCATTTCAGAGACAGTTGACATGAGGTTTCTAGCACCTGCACTGAGTCCCATCATGTTTCAGGTGGCATTTAGTGTGTTGTGACCTCTGAAGAGTCTTGTTTTCAGCGCACACAAGTGCACAGAAACCAAGGCAGCCCATGTAACTGTCTTGTTTGAGCAAGCATCCAGTAGTGCCTTCTGAGGCCCTTCACACTGGAACGTGGCTGAACAGGGTGCTTGTTGACTTGGTGGCTGGTAACAGTACTAGTCCTCAGAAGAAGAGACAAGTGACAAGTCCTCAAGCATTCATTCAGGAACACCCACATGTTGACAGGCTGATAAAATCCTGTGTTGGAGTGGGAACCAAGAGGAGGCACCCTGAGCAGGTACATGGGGTGGAAGAGGATGAGCTGCCCAGTAGGCTGTGAATGGGTGGGGTGGTTTCTGGTAGGAAGGACAACAGCAGGGGAAAGACGTGGCTGTAGCTAGCCACGATTTTTAATAGCCGGTTTCACAGGACTGAGCTAACAGCTGCAGCACAGACTTAGCCAGCAGTGTAGTTCTTATGCCTGCACAGATCTGAGATGATGTTGCATCACCTGTAAATGTGATTGTGTTTGAAAAAGCCTAATTTTGCTCCTGTGGAGCCTTACTTGGTTAAGTGTCCAGGCCTGCTGGGTATACCCATCTCTTCTTCCCCTCTGTGTTTTAGAAGAGATTGAGTTGATGTATAAAGGAAAATACCTCAGGTGCTTTTCTGACACTGGATATGATTAATTGCAGATACCCTAATGCCCCTGGGCTCTATGGTGATTAATAGTGTCTCGAAGCTATGTCGGCTTGGGGGTTCCTCTATGTACACTCTGCCTAATGCACCAACCCTCGCTGACCTGGAAGATGACACAGACGAGGAAGGTAAGGTCCTGTTGACAGCTAGAAAATGTGTTCTGTCTCATCCCTCTTGCTCTGTTAGAGTAATGTTAGGATATAGCACATGGATATAGAAACAGAAAAGGTCTCTCCAAGTAGATGGGGTTTTCTTTGTCTCCTGGGCTGGATCTACTATATGTCCCATTAGTCCCCTACAGCCTTGACAGGTAGATCTGTATGCTGTAAATCTCATGTGGATTGTTAATGCTGCCCATCACTAGTATTATTTGCATGCTCCTTTAAAAGCCTGGCAGCCATCCGGTTCTGCCTTTTCCCTGCAGTGATTCAGCTTCTAAAGTCTTTGTGTGCTTATGGTGTTACATGAACAAAAGATAACAGTTTTTGTCTTGGTAGTGAAAAGACAGCTGGAAATGCTCTTTGGAATTGGAAAAGTCACTCTAGTAAATACGTGTAAGTGTGAGGTGGCACTGGAAAATGTGCGTTTGCAGACTGCCTGAAAAGGCTGGGCATCCTGCCGTTTGGAGAGAAAAAGAAGAAAAAAAAAAAGCCCACTCCTTTTCTCAGAGCTCTTAAAAGTCTAACAAGACTGGAAGAATTAAGATAAGAATGGAGCCAGATGTCATACTGACTCCTTAAAAAATTGCTATTTGATTTCAGTCTTATCTCTGAATCTCTATAGCTCTCATAGCTTCTAAATGTGGCTGAAAGTTTCTTTTTGCACGTTTCAGCTTGGCTGCAGCCCTGATCTTCTAGTCATTGTAATGAAATGGGCCAAATTCTGCTTCCATTTAGCCACTCAAACCTCCAGTGATGCACTTATAAGGTACACTGAGAAAAAGTTACATCCCCCCAGGAGTTCTCTTCCTGGCTTTCATGGAGAATTCTTCTGAGGAGTACAGCTTTTATGTCCCGCTTCTTCCCCAGCAGCTTTAGGATTCAAAATTATATTCTGCAAGAACTTGCAGCTACACAATCTCAAAATGGTCCTGTAGAAATGCTCTGTGGTGGCTGTGGGTCACAAGTTGAATATGAGTCAGACAGTGTGGGTGTTAAGAAGGACGCTGATGTCACACTGGAATATGTGAAGAAATGTATACATCTCCAGGTTCATCAAAGTCTTCTGTCCAGAGAAAAAGAATAACCTGTTCTCCCTGTCCTTAGAAAAAAAGGAAGTAGGGCAGAAAAGGGATGGTGGGTAGAACAGAAGTAATGGGCTTCAATTGCAGCAAGAAAGATTCAGGATCCACATGAGAAAAACTTCTAACTGATAATGATGGATCTGGATTGACAGCCTGGAGACTCTGGCATCGCCAACACTGGAGAACTTTAAGAAGAGATTAGAGGAACACCTCTCAGGAGTGACATCTGTAAAGCTGATCTTGCTTTATGCCAGGGAAGGACTAGAGGGCAGCATGACATCTTTTCAGCCATCTGATTTTGACTCTGTGCTTTGCTTTCTTTCTGGAGATTAAAATTTTTCTCACTTTTTTTTATCCTTTCTGAGAAGTCTATTTATAGTTTAGTTCTTCCTCAGCTGATTTATTAATAAGTATCAAATAGATTGACTCTTTGCAGCTGAGTCACAGTCAGTTTTCCAAAGATGTTTCATGAAATGTTTTTTTTTCTGTTTCCAGGCAATGGAGACAAACCAGAGAAGCCGCACTTTGATTCTCGTAGTCTTATCTTTGAATTAGACTCATGCAATGGGAATGGGAAAGTTTGTCTTGTTTATAAGCATGCTAAACCAGGTAAGACTGAAAAGAGCAAAGTTAGCCATCTCTTGTTGCGGATTGTGTGTGGAGGCCACACGTGTAGAATCATCTTACATTTCTGATTTTCTTGTTTGTAGATGAACATTTACTGGGATGTCCTGTCTCCACTGAAGTTAGGGACTAAACCTTACAGAGACTTAACTAGAGCTAACATTTTCCCTTCTTTTAATGTTGGAGTCTGAGTTGTGATTTCTGCATGCATAGAAGCAGGAAATCATTCGCATATGACCTACTGATAATCATGTTGAAATAATACAGAGAGCTAGAGCTCAGCTACTAACTTATCCCTGGTTACTTGCACGTCTTGGAAGAATTCCCTTACATTTTGATGAGAAAGGCTGTAACTCTTCTTAGAAGCAAAGGGTAGATGGTAGATGAGGAAATGGCCTCAAGTTGTGCCAGGGAGGTTTAACTGGATATTAGGGAAAAATGTCTTTAGTGAAAGAGCAGTCAAACATTGGAACAGGCTGCCCAGGGAAGTGGTGGAGCCACCATCCCTCAAGGTGTTCAAAAACGGTGCAGAAGTGGCACTTCAGGACATGGGTTAGTGGGCATGGTGGTATTAGGTCAACGGTTGGACTTGGTCATCTCAGAGGTCTATTCCAACTTAATGATTCTATGGTAAAAAAAGATCCTTAGCTGGCTGAGACAGACTTAGACTGGTTCTTTCACCTTGTGCATGGATGCAGAGACTCCAGATGTTAACTAGGTCAAAACTTGGCAGGAAGGGTTGACCCTCCTTTCACACGGGAGAGTGAAAGGTGTGAGCTGAGCTATTTCTCCTGACAGATAGACAGAAAACTGTTATCGGTCAGCAATCAGCAAAACACCCGAGTCACTTGTGAAGTATTGTCATCTGACAGAGTGCACAGGTCACTAAGTGTATGCGTATACCCGTATGTTCAGTGTGGGGGTGTCCAATTGTGATATACCTGTTGTTGTGAAAACTCTTTGGTTGTTATCTTACGTCTTTCATTGGGTGTGACTACAGCTCGCAAGGCAGAAACTTCTTACTTGTCCTCTTGCCTTCCAGTGTTAGTGAGTTCAGTACAGGCAGTGGATAACCTGGGCAAGGGGACAGAGTGTTTTTTATATGTGTTGGTGTCAACACAGGAGGCAGTTTGTTTAATTGAAGTGTTCGGCATCTCAATCTCTCACTTCTTTTTATGCTACAAAGGATGTCGCCACCAGAGAAATATTTGATGGCTGTGGAAAGATTTTGCAAAATGTGTTTTTGTTGGCAGTGCACTCCCATGACTTCCAGACTCTGGACTCTATTCAGTAGTACAGATGACTTATAATTGAGTTAGTTGCTTTTCACATTGTGGGGCAGATAAATGTTTGCCATAATTGTACTTTGAACTTACACTATGAAGTTGCTGATGTCCAAGCATGTTCCATGTAGTGTATCAGTCCCACGTTGGGAAGGAATAACTTTGCATCTGTTTTACAGTGGTAAAGTGAGTATAATGGCTATTGCATAAGTACTTTTAGTAAGGCTGGGAGCAGAACCAAGTCCTTTTCAGTCTCCATATTCTAACCGTTAAACCACATTGCCTTTACATAATCATTTATGTTAATCAGGGATGCTGCAGTTTAGAAGCTGCAGCTTTTCTGTTAAGTATGTTGTGTCTCCCACCTGACAATGGCCAGGGGTTGATCTTATCACTGCAAAGCAACAGTGTCATTTGCGTTTGTTTTGTTCTAGTTGTCTCACCAGACACAGAGATATGGTTCCTGGACAGAGCTCTGTATTGGCATTTCCTCACCAAAACCTTCACAGCCTACTACCGCCTGCTCATTACCCACCTGGGTCTCCCACAGTGGCAGTATGCCTTCACCAGCTATGGGGTCAGCCCCCAGGCCAAGGTAGGACAGCAGGATTCAGCTCCTCAGTATTTTGCATAAGCGTAGACTGGAAAAAAATCTTCCCACCTTTTGACAGTCTGTAGGCTCAAGTGGGCCTCCCTTTTGAGCTGTGGAAGGGGCCGTGAGTCTTTCCACCATAGCATGTTAACAGTCATTTGTTTGTGTTAGTGAATGCACTAACGTTGTGTTAACCCCACTTTTTCTCGCTTGAGTTGGGCTCCACCTTTGACCTCTAATAGCATGTGGTGGAACTCAAATTATTTATTTGCTTTCTTGACTCCGGAGCAAACGTCTGCTTCCATGACTGCTGGCAAGTGAGGAGACGTAAAGCTGTTCATCCCCACAGCTATGTAAGATTTGTCTAAATCAGTTTACTGGTTTCTCTAGCAGTGAACAAGAGCCTACTGCTGTCTGGGTGGAGAGAAAAGTCCAAGTACACATTAGGCAGAAGCCCAGAGGAAGACTATAAGCTTTAGCCTTGCCAAGAATATTAATTCCTTTGCATCGTCCTCAGTCATGAAGGGACCCCAAAAAGGGACCATTTAAATGCCCTCAGTCCTAGAAGCAGTTATAGGAGAGTTCCAGGTACGCCCTCCTGACCATTCCAGCCCCTTATTATTATTAAAATTCCTATTCTGCTCTGCCAGAACCCTGCTATTAGAGGCTCATAACATTCCTCTGTGTTTGACTGGGCCTTCAGCCCTAACCCTGCTTCCACACTGTGAGAGGTCGGGGAATGGATCTGACGGTACTACCAAACACAGGACATAAGCTGTGCAGTATCTGTGCATGTTGACAAGGCCTGGCGGGTCTCGGTGAGTGTCCTGCACTTCACCCAGACACAACAGCTGCCTTACCATCACAGCATTCCTTGGTGCTGCCTCAGCCCTGTGCGTACATCAGAACTACTCACAAAAACCACTGCCAAATTCCCATCTATCAATGGCTGTAGAATTTGGTTCTTTGTAGTTCTGGTGTCTTCTCAGTTATACTGTGCTCTACTTTATCAGTCAAGGCTGTGTACGTGGTACTAGAGCATATGCCTGTGCTCTGCCTTTCTGTAACTTTCCTGCTAGAATATTTTATGTTCAGTATATTCACAAACCTTAGTAAACTCATTCAGGTATTCCCTAATCATTTGCAGCCTCTGTTAGTTAAAATCCTCCTAGTGTGTTAACCACTATAATTTTTAAAGGTCTTCAAGGGTGGTATATTAAAGCTGTTTTCCATTAAGCAGTACATTAATAGGTTGCCATCTGCATTTTGGTATTGACCTTTTGTTTATTTTGTTCAACACTTTGTTGATTGTTTCAGTGGAATTTGTAGTGCCATAACCCCTACAATTTTATTTCCGTCAATGGAAAACTGCTAGGAAAGAGATGAGAACTGCAGGGCATAGCATTGTGGTGGCATCTGGGAATCAAACCGTCACTTCTAGATGTAAAAATCACAAACACAAAATCCTTTGTGTAAAGAGTTTAAAAGTCTTGCGTTACTGTATGTGTGAAGAGAGGGAGGGACGCTATATTTTGAGGAGTTCAACTAGTTTGGGTCCAATTTGTAAGCACTTTTAAATTCCAAGGTTTTTTTAATCTTTTCTGCTTCTCTGAGTTTAAATAAATGTGGTTTGGTTTTATCCCCTCCCTTTGCTTTTCCTCTTGTGGTTTAAATCAGGAGTTTCTCCTGATAGGAGTTACACTGCAGGAAAGGTAGTGTTAGGTTTGTGTCTGGTTCATCTCTTCCCTGTCTGGAATGTGGGGCAGTTCCAAGGCTGTAGCTGTAGCTATGCCTTGTGTATCCTTATCACAAGACACTCTGCACAGTCCTGCAAAATGATAAGTGGTGTATGATTAAAATCAGGTGTCAGTGTGGAAATGTCTAATTGTGATTTGATTTTAACCTCTTTTTTACAATTCTGCCTTTCAGCAATGGTTTAACATGTATAAACCCATAACCATCAACACTGCTCTCCTCTCTGAAGAAGCTGATTCCTTTGTAAACAAGCTGGACCCTAATAAGGTATTTAAAAGCAAGAACAAAACGCCAGTGATCAAGAAGAAACCACCCTCCCAGCCAGTAGGCTCCCAGAAGAGTCACACAAGCATGGCTTCCTCCAAGACATCCTCACTAGCTGGGAATTCTTCAAGGAAGTGAGACCCCCCCAGGTCTGACCCTGCACAACATTTGCAATAAGCTTTGATGTTCTCTGATGCTGAGTCTCAGTGGTTCAGAGCAAGTTCCTTGTGCATGAATAGATGTGCCCATGGGAAACACATTGCAGTATTTGCATGAAATATAGCCACAATGTACTTTGTCATGGGAAGGATATAGTTCCTGGAGACTCTGAGAAAAGAACTTGAGACATTGATTTTGTTCCCTTCTGCTACTTGCCCCATGTACTGTTCAGAGGGCACAAAGAAGCCCTTGATGTCACTGCTCTATAGGGAAGCTTTTGTTTCTGTGCAACTACATTAGTGAAATGAAAGCGAATGTAAGTCACCGTTACTTTAATAGACCCATGCTGAAATACAGTGTATGAAGATATTTCTGACATCTCCTTTGAAAGAAACCTGTCCTGACCCTGCATGCTATGGGAGCAGGCTGGAACCCAGTGAACAAAGAAATATCTTCTGCTTCAGACAGAATCAAACTCCACACTTGCCTGTGCTCCTTCCAACTTCTGCTCTGAGGTTCATGGTACGAAGGAACCTGAGGCTTCCATGTCTCTGCGTTGGCCTAGTTGCTTGTTCTACAGCCCAGACCACTTTTTGGCCTTTGTGCCATGTCTTTGTGGGTAGTGACATCTGTGTGATGTCCTTCCCAATAAGCCTGAAGGCAGCCAGAAGCTGCAAGATTGCTCATTGCCTCTGCTTTCTCCTCTTGTGGGAACTGCTGAGCCAGGGTGGGTCAGTGGTGTTAACAGTGAGAGTCCCATAAGCCAGGAGGACCCCTTGGTTTGTCACACATTCATTTGCAAAGTTGACCATTCAAACAGCCTTTGTCACTTTTCAATTAGGCAGGATCTGACCAGGGGCCACTGAGATCCTACAGCCTTAGAAGCCCCTGATGCTGTTTTCTTTACTGTAATTTTTCAGGTTAAAACTGCACTTTAACCCATTCACTGCTGGTTTTCCGTTACATCTGATTGTTTCCATTACTTTTCTATACCATTCTGTCTTCTTAGATGTGGTGGAAACACACAGTAGCAACCAACACATTTTGTGCCTAAGCAGGGAAATCAAAGTCACCATCTTGAAATAAGCGTTGGGTTATTTAAACAGCACCATCTTTTATTTATGAAAGTCACATAAGACAAACCTACCTCACAGAGATGTTGTGAGGCTTTCAAGAGTGTTTGTATGTCCTTCAGAAAGATAAAACCACCCTGTAAGTGGATAACAATATTTTAATAAAGATTTTCATATTTTCCTGCAGAGCAATTGGATATTTGAAGATGCTTTTGGGAGCACATGCACAAGGATGTATGGTTCAGGCTGGATTGTTTGGTGAGGCTTTTTAAATGCAGTGGAGAATCTCTCACTGAGAAGGGATGGAGTCCAGTGTCTTTTAGCTAATCCCATCTTGAGCTATTCTGAAGTTCCCAATTTAGTTCACATAGATTAAAAGATTCAGCTGTGTGACAGCTGTTCCACTTCTGTCCTGCGCTTGCTGTTCAGGATCTCTGCAGCTGTCAGCCCCGGCCCTGGCATGCTTTGCTGGCTTCCAGCACTGCCCAGGGCCCACCCTCAAGCGCAGTTGCTGCATTGCCTGGCAGCTGCCCTCTGCCACCCCCAAATGAGAGAAAATCCTCTAATGCTTTTCAGCCCTCTAAAGCCAATGTGCGTCTTCTGCCGGATGAAGATCTGCTGTAGCTGCTCTACTAATGAGGAAGCAGAGATGTCAGCACCTACCACCCCACCCCATGCCGCAGTAATACATTAGTAATCTTCCTAATAGAGAGATGTGAATGATCGTTAAAGCCAGTAAATGCTATTTTCTGGAGTTCTGTCACTTCCTACTCTTGCAGATCCCTGTGTTGTGTGTTCATTGCAACCACTCCGGGGACTGCAGTCACATGCTTGACATACATACCATACTTGCTTAAGCACTTGCTAGAAATCCTAACACTGTTGTCACCGCCCTGGGAACAGGCAGCTTCTGATACTGTTTTGCTTTTAATCCGATGATACCTCAGACTCGTAAGGCTGTTGCAGGCCCACTTGCTCATTCAGATGGAAGTGGCAGAATTCCTCCAGGAGCAAGGCAGCCTCTTCCCACATTTCTCATGCATTGCAAGTGGAGAAAAGAGGTTGTTTTTTTCCGCTTGGGGATGCTACCGCAGAAGTTGTCTGCATCCTTTCATATGGTGATAGTTGAAATCTAGCCTGTAAGTAACATGTGTGGTTCCATGACGCCAACACGTTTCAGCAGAGCTGTGCCAGGATTCAGGAGAATGTTCAGATCAAAAAGCAAAAAAAAGAAAACCAATCATGAAAAAGAAAAAACAAAACACCTCAGTTCAGGTTTCTATTTCAGCCTGTCCTTGCTCTTCTTTTCTCTGTGCTGTGCCAAACAAGGTGTTTGTTAGGGTGGCAGGTTAGCAAATGGAAACTAGCCTAGGCCCCTAGTCCATCAGTGTGGTATCTACCTCTTACCAAAGAATATTCCAGATCAAAATTTCTTTAATTAAGTTGTTTCTGCCACTGTTGGATCCTGTATTTTGATTTCTATGAACATACAGGTATCTGGAGTATTGCAGCTCTGCTTCGCTTTTCTGCAGAATGTGATGACTTTTTTTGGTGGTAGAATTTTAGACAGGGAGATGATTGAATAATTTCTTCGGGTCACAGCCAGGTCTAGCCCTACCCAGGTTCTGCCCAGCGTCTCAGAAACTCCGTTTGTCTGGTTAAGCAGAGTAGGTTTGTTGAAGACTAGTCCCTCATTTCTCCACTTGCAGGGTGGAGACACAGTGTGGACTGGCAGCACCATTGCACATGTCCTTATCCGCTTGGTTGCTCTTTGGCTGTCAGTCCATATGTCTGTATAGGCTTTGCTGTCAGGCCCTTTCCTCAGAGTGTGTGGCCATCACAGTGTAGAAGTCTCCACCACTGGCTGGCCTTTCTCATTTCCACTTTCTGGGACAGGTTGGTTGTGAAAATCAACGAAGAGTTTGTGGATTAAAACACCAGCGAGACTTCCCAGAATCGGAGCTGTGACTGGGACCCAACACCAGTGATGTCCAGCCCTAAAATGAAACACAGAAGAGGCAGCTGGTGAGCCAGAAGAACCGCTGCCCTGCCGACACATGGCGCTGGGTGACGTGAGAAGAGTCTGTTGGGGCAGGAGTGAGCTGTGTGAGCAGGGATGACTAGTCCCCCTTCACATATTGGGCCCTACAACTGGCTTGAACAAATTGTCTATCCACCAGCTTAGTTGCTGGAGGGAGGGTCATTTTCCCTATCGGCCTGGGAAAGTGGCTCTGCACTGTCTTCAGTTTCTTGTTCTCCTACAGAAATGTCTGTGTGATCCTGATGAGTGTGACTGTCAGACACACACACACACACAGACCTTTTCCCTCCCCATTTCAAATAGCTTCTGCACCTCATCTATGAAGCTCTCAAAGTTTCTGGAAATTTAATGAAAATGGGAAGCCAGGACAGGAAACTCTGCTAATGCCCTCCCTCACCATGGGAAAAAAGCCATAGCATGGCACCATCTTACTAGATAGAGGAAGGCAGGGTTTCATCTCCAGATTCAGAGACCTAAATTTAGGAGAGCTCTTCAGCAATCCAGCAGTAGGTACCTGCTTTCAGGTGAGCTGAATCGCTCTCTGGATCTCCAGTCACTTCAATAACCAGCTGATTTGGTGACCAAATTAAGGTATCTGAATCTCAAGATGAATCCCACGCTGGAGACTTAGTGTACGCCAGATGTTGTGTACATAATGCACGGGGCTCCTCAATGCGTAACGCTTGCTCTCTGAGAATGGAGAACCCACTCTGCAGCAATACCATTGCTTGGTCTAAAGAAAAAGGCTTCAGGACCATTTTATCTTGGGCTTGTCTCATGTTCTTGTGAGCTGAACAGTTTGAAAGCAAACCGGGTCACTCACGTGAAGACATCCATTCCCCAGCCAGCGATTGCCGTGAAGACCCTCGGGGGCAGGTCCCGAGAGGGGTTTATGGCATAGCCTGTGTTCATCCCCATCCCCATGCCGATGCCCAGGACCAGGATACCCGTGAGCAGGGCCTGCGTGCCTTTCAGGGCTCCGTTGTTTTTCTCATCATGGATGACCAGAATGCCCAGGAGCAGCATCAATGTCCCCATAAACTGCAGAAGCAGGAAAGGGAGAACAGGTCAGGAGAGAGAATGGGGAAGGCAGAAGGATCCCGCTCAGCAGAGGGGAAGAGACTACCCAGAATGGAGGAGCAGGTGGTATTCATGGTATGATCAAGTCAGGGAGTACCTCAATGTTATTCCCTCCTCACAGGTGGACTGAAAAAAATTCTTGACTCATTTCCCAGGAAAAACATCTCCACCTCATCACCAAAAATGCTCTAGAACCAATATGAACTACTCAGCACTGTCCTCTCCCTCCACCTTTCAAGTTAGGGACATGGGTTATTTTAAATACATTTAATCTAACAGAGGCAGAGCCATATCAAACTGCTAATGAGACCTCTCTAGAGAGAGTAACGTTTTATATAGCCTGTTGCATTAGCCCTTTCAGGATTAAAAGCAGATACCAAATTCACATCTGGGAAAGTGAATCTCTGACCTGTGACCAGACATAGCTAGCATTTGTAGATCTGCAGTGCCCAAGATGTCAGGAACTGTGGTTTGAGTAGAGCTGATGTCTCCTGTCTCTTTCTGCTTCAGAAAATGCAGCTTAAGAGACTTGGACTGCTTGCAGAGATGCCAACAAAAGCAGAAACTCTGCAGGTCTTGGCAAGGCCCTGTCACTGTCGTTTGCTTTCTTGTGCAGCAAGGACACTGCGTGCTCCACAGGAGGCTGAGTGACTAGGCCTCACCTGTAGGCTCTCCAGCTCTCACTGTCCTCCTCATCATGCCCAGGAAAGAGTTTTGTCAGCTCAGAAATAAAGCTGACAGAGATAAAGACCTCCTCAAATTTGAATTAGAAGTGAATCTTCCTTCTCCAGTGTCCCAGCGCTCCATGTGCCCTGCAGCATCCCTTTCCTATTTCTGGACATCTGGACATGGTATTGTATGCTAGGAAACAACTGTATGCAGTCTAAATTGGACTG